CTCTGACCAGCACACGTCTGTTTATGGACACACACTTCAAAAAGAAGGGGATAGGCCGTATGCCACATGTTGGTATATGGGTATGTAGGCTTGTTTATAAGAACTTGTATGTTAGTGTGTATGTGTGTGTGCACTTGTGTGTGTTATGTATATGTGTGTGTGCTTGTTTGCAAGTACTTGTGTGTGCTGTTGTGTATGTTTGGCTTCTTTGTTACCAATTAAGTTTTCCTCAGCCTTAATTCTCCCGGGTGCAAATCGGCATTTTTCTGCAAACCCCTCTCACACAAAGGCTCTCACACAAAGCCTCTCATATGTGAGGCAGATGTGACTTAAAGAACCAGTGAGGTGTGGTGATGCAGACACAGGCTTTGAAGCCTGAGAGACCCAGGTGTAAATCTCTACACTTACCAGTCATATGTGCTTTGGAACTTACACAACTTCTCGATTTCCTCATGTTGAAAATGGCCTAATCGTATCACCTTGAGGAATTTGTCATAAGTAGCTCTTACTAGAGTCCAACCAACAAGAAAGAACTTCCCAGCAGTGCCCTAACCCACTGAACAAGGGTGAATAAAGATGAAGATGAAGATGGCTGCCACTGTTCACCAGCGAAATCCTGCCCCCTAGAGGCAGAAACTATATTAGTGGAAGCTTATCAAGTTGGTATCCAGGGTGTCCAGGGACCAAGTTGCATGAGTCAATGAGGCTCTTTTGGAGGTACAGAAGTTAGAACCACACCTTTACCGAGGTGGCCAGGTCCACCTCAGAGGCCACAGATGAGAAAATCCTGCACCCAGGAAGGTGCTTCTGCTCACAGAAACCTGAGGCTCACACAGTCAGGCAAATCTCCAGACCAAAGAACCACCTCTTGGGTTCAATTAAATGTGCTGTGATTAATTATCAAGTAGGAGCAACCTGGACCCACTGACAGACTGATCTTATAATGAATTCAGCAGGGGGGATGTTGTGAAGTAGGTAATAACCCCTGGTTATTCCTGGATGTTGGTATTTCAAAACCAATGGGAACTGGAAAGAAGCACCTGAGGTTCTAAGTCAAATTCACAGCCCAGCATGACCTTGAGCGAGTCAGGTGATCACCAAGGGCTCGGTCTCCACATCTGCATTATCTACTCCTAGGAATATTTGAAGCTTAGAGAGGATAACCTGTGGTCTGCAACACATCTAGAGTAGGACTCAGGAAGTGGCGATGATTTTTTGAATTTTTTTGGAACACCTCAAACAATCTGTCTGGCAAAGCCATTTTTCAGGGAAGGTGTTGACTGTGGAGATTGGCCACCCCCTCTGTCATGGTTGAGCCCAGGGAAATTGGAGAAGGGGCATGCTTTGCTCAGGCCCTAAAGCCTCCCACTCTGGCCTGGGGAGAATGGGGAGAGAGTGGGGAGAGGCAGCTGTTGAAACCCAAGGACAATGGCAGGATCCACCCTCTCAGGTCTCAGTGGTCCCAGCCAAACTGAGACTCAGCCCCCGCAGAAGGTATCGAAGCCACAGCAGCTGTGCAGACCCCACCCAGGTGACACCACCCCAACCCTGGACCTGGGCGTCCCACCCACTGGGGCCCCAAGCCAGAGGCGGCCATGCTCGTACTCATCACCGCCTTTTGAACTTGTTATGCCGGAGCCTTTGAATAGATCCCATGAATAGGAAAGGCCGAATTGGCCACCTGTACTTCTCTGCCAGGGTCCCACTGTTGAGAGAAGATATTATGGACACTGGCCTGGCTCAGTTGCAGGACAGTCTACCAACAGTAGACTGTCTTTACTTCCTCTTTCTTCTCCCACACTTTCCATTCATTGCATCCATCTTTGTCCAAATGTTGGCAGGTTTGCTGTAGACACGTTCCCCCAGCCAGCTTTTCTGTCTTTGCCATCCTTCAACCAGATTTCATGCAAGGGCTGGTAATCCCCTCTGGCTTATCAATAACTTCATCAGCAAATTCTTCTGGACCCTCTTCACCCCCTTCATCAGCAGGGCTAGCCGAGACTAGTACCTGGCTGCTTGAGGGGTTCCAGCTTCTCCACCTTGCCATCCACATTCTCCCAGGGCTCAGTCTTTCTCTCCTGTCAGCCACAGCCATGAAGACATTAGTTTATCATGACAAGTCATTCCTGGAGACCTTCTGAGGGTTAACAATTGTGTGGCAGAGGAGTTTCTATCTAAAGCAGGATGGCATTATTTTCAAAAAATGTCAATAAACTAAAAGAATAAGTTATTCTCCATGTCTAGGTATTTAGCCAAAGAATATGAAAACAGTAACCTGAAAAGGTCTATGCACCCCTGTGCTCATGGCAGCCCATTCATCACAGCGAAGTTACGGAAGTAACCTAAATGTCCATGGACAGATGACACAACGAAAATGTTGTGGTCTTTATAGTCAATGGAATACTACTCAGTGATTAAAAAGATGAAAGCATGTCATCTGGGGCAATCTGGGTGGGCCTGGAGGGATGATCCTGAGTGAACTATGTCAGGAGGTAAAAGACAATTATGGAATATTCCACTCACTTGTTGAATATAAATAACCAACGAAGACAAACTCACAAAACACAATAAAAATAACTAAGACTGAAAAACGTGGTGAAGAAGGCAGAGAGGATGGAGAAGGTCAAGATAATAATGTGACGTCACTGAAACTTTGCTGGCGGGTGACTGAGGTGTATGCAAATATAGAGGTGGAAAACTGTATTTCAGAACGTTTTAGGGTGTTATAATCCAGGAGGATGTGGAGAGATTTGATTTAAAAAGAATAAGGTGTTCTGGGCCTCCCTGGTGGCGCAGGCAGTAGAGGCCCACACTGTGAGGCTGTCTGCAGCCTTTGCAGCGTGGGTTCGATCCCGGCCTGCCGGCGGGAATCCCACATGGTGAGCAGAACGCTCCTGTCTCGCCCACTGCTCCCTTCAGCAGTGTACTTGGACAATCTGCCTATTCTGTTCCCTGCTCTGTCTCTGGTGAATTCCCTCACCCTCCTGCACATCTGGCCTGTACCCTGTTCTTGTATAAATAAATAAATCTTAAAGAAAAAAAGAATAAGGTGCTCTAAACATTGAGGCCCATACAGTCCTGAGAGCAGCGTTTTCCTGTCTGTAACTGGCCCATTTCACCACATGTGCAGCCTGTCACCACCCCAGGGACCGTGGCTTTGACCGGCCTGCGAGCCCTGTTCCAACAGAACCCAGGATGTGGGCTCTGGCTAGGTCTCACCCTGTTGGTCGATGGGGTCTGGAGTTCTCAAGACTCCCGCGCTCCTGCAGAAGAGGAGCAATACAAAACGAGGACAGGCAATAACAGGGTCAAGGATAAACGGGGGAGGGGTGAACCTCGGGGCCCAGTGTCTTCGCTTCAGAGGAGGCCACTCTGCCCCGTTCTGGAAGCCCCAGGGGAAGCACAGACGAGGCTCCAGCCCCAGACGCCTCTCTCTCCTCCCAGGCAGGGACGCTTCTGGGATCAGATCCCTGCGAGCCTCTGCGCGCATCTTCATCTGGGTTTTCTCGGGAAACTCACAATCCGTGGCCAAGGGACGCTGAACCTGGGCGCACAGGGGCTTCATCCTAACTCTCCTCTCGGTGTAGCTCATTAGCCACTTGACCTTGAACATGACCTTCAGTTTCTTCCCCTGTAAAATGGTACAGACACAGCCTCCTTGGCTAGACTCTAAGGAGAATGGCTTAAAAGTGGTGTTTGGTAGTATGTTGGATTTACAAGGAGACTTAGAACAAAACTGCCCGGTCGCAGAATGTGCTGGAAATGGCGGAGGGCTCCCTCACAGGAACCTGCCGCCTCGCACCGTCTGGGGCTTTCCCTGGGATCTCCTGTCCTTTTTATCCGGCTTCTTTATTTTTGTTATTATCCCATCAACATACTCCCTTTGATTCACCCCCATTACTGCCTTACCCCCTTTACCCAGTACTCTGTATTTATAATTTCTTTCAGCTGTGGTTAAAAAGGCTCCATCTGTAACCTCCGCCCCGCTCAGCTGGCCCCAGCCTCCCCAGCGCCCCCAGTCCCTGCTCAGGGGGTGCATTTGCATCTGTTCCCCAAACAATGAGGAGCACGTTCTGCTCCCTGCAGACCGAGCCCGGCCTTTCCGGAGCCAGTCACAGCGCTGGACTGAGAACAAGGCCGATCTGGGGCCCAGCAGGTCGTAGCTGGGAATGTTTGCATGGCGCACGTCCAAAGCTGGTCTTCCCTCTGTCTTTTACGGGAACACACTCATTCCTGCGCCCCACTCGGTGGGGCTGCTTTCCCTGCTTGCTGCGGACACGTGTCGCCCTGCTGCTGACCCCTCCCCACCCTGGCCGGTGCCTCTGCCGCCAGGGCGCTGGGTCAGCAGGTTTCCGTCCAGCTGTCCACCTGTGCGCGTCCAGCAGCCCACCTTAGCTTTGCAGGGGCGGCTCTCCTCGCTGGTGCAAGCTTCTGAGAGCTCTCCTGAAGCAGCTGGGATGGGAGGGGCACGGGGGGGCGGGAAAGGGAGATCTGCAGAGGAATGGCGCTTTATAAATCAAAAAACAATAATGGCGTGTACTGCGAGCTCTGCAGGCTGGAAAGCCTTTGGCATCCCCAAGGCGCGCCGGGGAGCAGCGCGGCTCGAGGCTAGTGAATGGCAACACTGCCCTCTGCTGGCCAGGGCCGGCGGAAGCCTGTCCCCAGCAGCCTCTGGGTTTCTGTGCACAAAGCAGGAGCGTTTGCCCACTAATCCCATCAAAACCATCGTGGAGCATGAGAAGAATTTCCCAGGAAGCCTGAGAGCTAGGAAGAAGCATAGCCTGGATTTTGGTGATGCGGGGTAGAGTCGTCCTCAGATAGGGAATCGAATTTCTGCAATTTCAGAGTTCGCTGAGAAAGACTTTTTAGGGCATTTTATAGTGTTGCTTTTGGTAAACAAAATCGTTGAGCCGTGATTACCCCCATTCCTGAGGGTTATTGTGAACCAGACCCGCTTGTGAAACGCTCTAACAGGAATGCAAGTTTGTGCCTCCTTTGCATTAAGTAAAAATGCCATTTTCTGTTTATTCTGACCGGGAACTTTATATAAACTCAGAATTTCGGTTGTCCGTGAGCCAGGAAGCTGGCTTCTGCGCTCATCCACACCGCCCGTGAGAACGGCGGGCTCCAAGCTGAACCTATAATCCAAGCTTGATGAGGTCTGTGTTTAACAGGGCATTTCATTAAAGTTTCACTCACCCGCTGTAAATATCTCCAGTCTAGACTGAGGAAAAAGTCGGAGTGGACTTGGAAACTGGGGTGGAGAATTGTCGTCCAAGAAGGCATATTCCTCCTGGTATTTTCCACTTCCCGGCTCTGCATGTCATCTTGAACCTCAGCTCTGGTAACTGCAAGAACTCACCCTAGTTCTGCTTGGGGAAGACAAATAGGATTGTTTTTTATAGAAAGTGTTGTGTTTCTTTCAAGGGGACACTGTTAGGAAAGTAACTTCAGTAAAGTAGAAATGTATATACAGATATGATGTTCCAGAGTAGGCAGAGGCTCTAAATTTTAATAGATCAAATCTACCCCCCAAATGAATGGATACAAGTTCAGGGAAATCCATGAAAGTGGCTTCGTGCTTTTAAGTTATAGTGTTTAAGGACCTGATGAAAGCCCTGCTAGTCTGAAGAAAGTACTATTTTTCCAATGAAGTTAAGAGGATCACACTTAGAAAAGTCACTGCACACACACGACAAAAAAAAAAAAAAAACAGAAAGAGAAACAGCAATTGTGCAGTGCAGACTTGGTACAAACACACCTTAGACCCTGGAAAATGCTCCCAGTGGATCCACCCTGCTGGAGAGAAGGTCAGTAGGGTGATTGGTGATGGAGTGACCCCATGAAGTGTGTGCACTGGAGATCGGCGCCTGCCCCCATGAAGTGAAAAATGCTCTTTTTCACTTTGAGAGCTGATCTTTCACAGGTTTTAAAACTGCCTCTTTCTTTTTATAATTGTGATAAAATACACCAACGTGAAATTTACCATCTTACCATAGTTCAGTGTGCAGCTCTGGGGCCTCAGTCCATTCACATCACTGGGCCACCATCCACCATCCACCTCCAAGGCCCTCTGTATCTTGCAAAATGACACCCTGTGTCCAAGAGACACTGACTCCCTACCCCCAACCCCCAGCCCCCAGGAACCTCCTTTCTGCTTTCTGTCTCCAACTCTGACCACTCAGGGTAACTCATGGAAATGGCATCATGCTACCTGTCCTGTGCCGGTCTTATTTCACTGAGTATTTGTTGTCACAGCTCATTGGTGTTGGACTGTGGGTCAGAATTTCCTTCCTTTTAGACACCCCTATGTTTATTGCAACACTATTTACAATTGGTAAGCTATGGAAACAACCCAAATACCAAAAAATAGATGACTGCGTCAAGAAGATGTGGTACAGATACATAATGGAATATTACTCAGCCATCAAAAAGATAAACCCATGCCATTTGCAGCAACATGGATGAAGATGGAAGGGATGGTGCTCAGTGAAATAAGCCAGAAAGAAAAACAAAAATATGAGATGGTCTCACTTATAGGAGGATCCAAATAAGGGATCAGGAGGAAAAAGTAATTATAATAAAGTGAAAATCAAAATCAGCAAGCAACTATAAATAGAGACATTCTGCAGGGGAGGAGAGGAAAGTTGGATCAAAACAGGGGCAGGAAGAGCACAAGGGGCGATGGTGACGGTGCACAGATGAACGGGTGGTGGGAATTTCACGGAGACTATAACTGAGATGAAAATGTATACATTGTACAAAAATGAAAAATGATGTAAAAAAATATAAAATAATTAAAAAAAAGAATTTCCTTCCTTTTAGGGGTTGGATCACATTCTGCTGCCTGTTGGCAGTGAGCAAACATCTCTCTGTTCATTGGGGTGGACCCAGGAGACCTGCCTTATCATTTAGTAGTGCCACGTGTCATGCTTTCAGAGGTGCCTCTGTGCCGTTTTCCACAGCAGCTGCACCATTTCACGTGCCCACCATGTCCTCCCACATCCGTGGTTTTCTGTTTCATTGACAGGACCCATGCTGGTAGGTGGGAGGAGGTAGCGCTGTCACCTTTTGATGAATGTGACCCTGTGGGTCCACCTGGGAGTTTTACAGGTGGCTTCTTTTCCTGTGTCTCAGACATGACAGCAATTTGCTGGATATAGTTAGTTAATTGTCGACCCAGTATGCGGGGCTCAGCCTCCCTGAGGAGTCTCCATTTCTCCTGCTCCATCCTCTCCCCACCTCTTCAGTATCCCCACCTAAAAGTACCTTGGAAGGTGGTGGGGGCACACGCCCATGACTCAGAGAGCATTGACATCCAGGGGACCCTAACAGGCAGGCACCCACATGTACATGCACACACAGGAAGATCTGTGCACACCCAAACACACTCAGGAGTATACACACACTCATCTCTATTGTGAATCTCCATGTTTCTTCAAGTCACAGAAGATTCATTTTCTTTTTGCTTTTTCAAACCTTCTCTATCCCTCCCATTAGCCACTTCCCAGGGCCCTTCTATTTTCTAAAAATAAATCTACCAGTCCTTTTGATTTTAGAGAATTCATTTTAAAAAATACAGAGTACATGAGGTCATAGAAATAACAAGGGCAAGAGGAAACAGAGCAAAAATATATAGAAAAGTCTGGAACCAAATCGCCTTTTCTAAGGGATTTGGAATATTTTTCTACCCCCAGCTTCTATCTTGTGTTTCCCCATGACTGGCCTGTGAAGCCTGTGCGCCTCAGGTCTTGGCTTTCATTCCTGAGGGCAAATCTCATACCTCCCTCCCCCAGCACTCGCCCCTATGTCCTGCAGGTTCCTGTGTCACCAGATCCCTTCTTAGCATCTCTGTTCACAGGTGTGTATTATACATGAACTCCCATGGACCTGTAAGTCTTAAGTTCAAAGGCCAGCTCTACCAGGACAGAAATTGGGGACTCAAGGAACAGGGGATAGAGAATCAAGGGACATAGGCTCTTTTCCACCTGCTCCCCACATGGCCCCCAAATGGGTCAAGCTGGTAGAGGGGAGCCTTCACGGAAAAGCAACCCTCAGTGACAAGGCCATTTATAAATCTGGTCAAAATGGTTAGAGGCTCAACGGCCTAAAAGAACAAAATACTAGGCAGTGTTGAGTAGCTGACTATGTGTGTCAAAATATGACAAAATATTAGTGAGGAACTGTGCCACCAGTCTGTCAAAATCTCAAGTCACCAATATATCCACAAGACCCTTTAAGAGCACTTGTTTTAAGCACTTGGGAGCATGTGCCTCGGTGGAGATTACACTGTTCTAGAAAACCTCAACCCCAGTTCTGCCAGAAGTAACTCTGGTCGGTCATTCAGCCACCAAAGGTCTCAAATCTTTGTACTTAACAGTTAAAAAAATCTATGTACTTCCCTATAGCTTGTGGCTTAGCAGCAATGTTACCTGGACAATAAGCACCTGAAAAGGTGCCCGGCATCCTTATTCATGCGAGAAATGCAAATGTAAGCCACCTGGGATAGCACTTTGACAACAGCACAGGGTAGCGAGAACAGGGAGCAACCGGAACTCTCAGATACTAGTGGGATTGCAAAATGGAAACCACATCGCAGCATTTGTACTTGTATTTGAAAATGCAAACACCATGCAAAGATATTTCCCCAAGGGGGGTGAATCACAGGACCATGGAAAGACTCAACATTGGCGTCAGCGCTATTCAGATAACCAAGAACTGGAAACAACTCAGATGCCCTTCAGCTGCTGGATGACTACACCAGTCTGGAATATCCTTCCACTGAAAATGCCTGAGCCATAGAAAGGAACAGACTATTAACTCAAGCAAAAAATAAATAGATTGGCCCAGGCAGCAAAACGGATGGAGCTCGAAGCATTCTGAGTGAAGGAGGTTGGCCCTCCTTCACTGAACAGTCATTGGCTTAATTCCATTTATAGGAAAGAGCAGAAAAGGCAACACTACAGGGACATAAAGGTAATTAGCAGTTGTGAGGTGGGTGGAGATCAGACAGGGGCTCAGCTGTAGAGAGACAAGGATGTCTTCAAGTTGATAGTAATTTCCCATAGCTTGATGGTGGTGATGGCTGCTGTATAAAAGCCCCGTGATCCACCCCTCCATACTCTCCCATGGATGTCAAGTGTGCAGTGGGTCTTTCAAGTGCATGACTTTAGTGTATGTAAACAATGTTTCCATGAAACTAGAAAAAAGCGCTCCTTTTTTTGTAGACATATTTTTTCTTGTGTCTTGGGTAGGTTCCCAGAAATAAAATTGCTGGGTCCTATGGTAAGTTATGTTTAACTTTTTTAAAAACTGGCAAATTGCTTTCCAAAGTGGCCACTCTGTTCCCTGCAGCCATGCACAGCCTTTCAGTTGCTCCACCTCTTCACCAGCACGAGTCTTTATTAAAGCCACTTGAATGGCTGTGTAGTGGTTTTTGTTGCGATTTCCTGAAAGGTTAACGATGTGGAGCAACTTTTTATGAGCTTATTAGTCATTTATGTGCCATCTTTGATGAAATGTCTACTCACTCAAGTAGTTTGTCTGTTTTTAACTTGGGTTCTTCTTATTGAGTTGCACGAGTTCTCTTTTTCCACTTATTTCCCCCCCACCACCACCAACCTTGTTTCCTTTGTCCCTGTCCCTCTTAAATCTCCCCCTTAAACCTCAGAGTCCTCTCCTCATGGGGTTTATGAATTAATTAAATGTCCATTGGTGTGTAATGGACATTGCTGTGTAATCTCCAGTGTCTATTTTTAGCGTTCTCACTTACTTTACTACCCATAATCCTCTCCAACTCCCTCCATTTTGCTGAAAATGGCTGCACTTCATCCTTTCTTATGACTCATAGGATTCCACAGTGTGGACTAGAAAAACCTTAAATCCCCCATGCACCCCCAGTTGAAGACTATCACCACAGCACTGTCCTTAGACAGGCATATTCCCCACTCATGACCAGAGTCACCCCCTAACGGGACACCTGGCTGAACTGGGGAGCCAGGCTCCATCACCTCCATGCTTTCTAAGGGGATGGCTGCTGCTTTCACTGGTCAGAGGGGCAACAGAAACATGAGAACCTGTTTCCAGTAGGAGAAGCAAACAGCTGCAGAGGCTAGCTGCTTGCCCTTGGGGACAGAGCTTGGGGACCAGACAGGCTGCCTGGTGTCCCCGGCTGTTCTCAGGGAGCCCCGTCCACTGCAGAAATGGTGGATCCTCACAGGAGAGATGGTGCAGGCTGAGCAGAAGGCTCTGGCCTGAGGAAGAGAGAGTCCCACAGGAGGACTCAAATCCAGTGGGGAACGTGCCCTGGGGAAACCCCTTTGCAGGAAGCAGCAATCATCCTCCCATGGCTTCCAAATAACCACAAGGCCATCGAGTCATTCAAATAGCTTGGGGGTTGTTCACTCAAATCAGCTGCCCTCTCCCCCCTTAGCAAGTGGTGGAGAAATAGCTGAAGGACCCAGCCTAGCGGTGGTTTTGTTCATGCATAGACCCAACCTCAGGAGCACTGGGATTGTACCCATATTAGTTTGAGTTATTTTGAAAGCAGAGCCTGAGTCACGAGTTTGGAAGCGACATGAATTTGGATGGGGAGAGTTACCCCCCAAAGCAGTGAGAATGGCGAAGAGTGCACGGGATGGTGACACTGGGCTGGCACTGTAGCAGGCAGCTGTGGGATCATACTCAGCATCCTCTCCCCGAGGTCAGCAAGCTGGGCCCACCTCACCACTCCCCACACCCTGGGGGTGCCTGCTCCAGGCTGGGCAGTCCTGGCAAAGCTGCTTTCTGTGACTTAGGAAGCAGCCCCGTGGCTGAGAGCTGTGAGCCAGTGGGACACACATTTGGGCACATTGGCACTGCCCAAGCTCAACCCATAGCATGAAGTGAGTTGAAGGTGTGCGGCACTAGCCGCAGGTGCCGTGGCCAGCTCCAAACCCACCTCTGGCAGGCAGTGACCATCTTCCTGGTCCAGCAAACACAAACTATCATCCCTTGAGATGCTGAAGTGGCGAGGCTGACAGTTCCCTCTCAGTGATGCCCCCTCCATGCTGCTCCAATACAGGAAGCTGAATTTGGAACCACTCTCAGGTTACCACTGACCTTCTGATCTGATCTGTGGGTCCCCGACTCTGGAAGAACCAGAGGTGCGAGATTGTACCCACGTGCTGCTCATCCTAAACTTAGACTAAGCACAGCACACATGGGCATGTGGAAAAGGGTTAAAGGTTTACCTTTAATGGTATCCGATTCCTCCACAGCAAGATGAGGGCACGCTTCCTGCCCTGTGCCTCGCACCTGCGACAGATGGCCAGGTCTGGAAGGAAGGCGAGGTGCAGTGGGGATAATCTGATACCCTGGCTTCTTCCTGAGGCAGTAGGACATAATAGGCACTTGTGTAATAAAAGCTCTGGGGGTGACCAGTGACTGGCCAAGTGACCTGTGGGATTATCTGTGCTTTTTGAGCCTTTCTTTGGAGACAAGGGATGATCAGCAGGTGTCTGCCTGTTGTGAAATATCAGCTGAGTGTGCCCAGCCACTCTGTGGAGGTCACGCCATCCTGCAGGTTTGAGTCAATGTCACGAATTCTCTGAGAAACTCACATCCTGGACTGAAACTCTTGTCTCCCACAGGAGGGAAGACAAACCTTAAGCAGTTCACAAAGAGAAAATCAGAAGGCAAGAGGAGGGATTGCAGATAAGCTCTTAATAACAAAAGCCTATTTATTAACAGTGGTGTTTTCCTGTATCACAAATTTCTAGGACCTGGTCAAACACTTTGGGTAAATGCAAGGCCAGCTTATCCCCAGAGTTTATTTGGCACTCCATAAAAAGTCTGCGCTAATTTAAACATTTCCAGAATGGCTGACAAATATGAACAAAGCTTCAGACTAGAAGCAAAAGCAAAATTAAAAAATATAATAATAGTAATAAATGGAGCCACTTTCTCTTTGAATGAACAGGTTGATTTTAAAACAGCGCTGATATATTAGAGTCTCTAATAAGTCAAGTTCACAAACATGTTTACAATATCTAGTAAATACTAACTTCATTTAGGAAAGCAGACTGGGATATCCAATTATCCCAATACTCTTCTTGGCCTTCTGTTTAGACGTGTGCGCTTTCACAGCCAGAGCTGCAAGATGGTACATAGTAAACACCGCTTGTGAGTGTTTTCGTGTGGACACATATTTTAAAACAATTTTCATCCTTAAGTCAACTTGACTACACTGATGTTTTGCATATGAATTTTTGATTGTTTATCTTATCCTTTTAGGGTCCCCTGAAGGTGAAAAGCTCTGTGTGTTCATGCATGTATATGTGTGCACACATGTGTATGTGAGATCATAAAGAATGGAAAATAATCCTAGTGAAGATAGCCATAAGCAAGTTTCTTCAGGAAGCCGTAAGTGCTGCTTAGGGCTGGCCATGTCCATGACCACAGCTGCTATTGCTGCAATCCCATGTCAGCTCCTCGGCATCCCCTAAGGAGATGATGCAGTTTTCACAATAATAAAAAATTATTTCTTTTAATTTTCTTACATCACTGTTCATTTTTTGGTACAATATTTGATTTCTCCTCTAAGGTGTAATCCCCATAAATCTCCTATCACCACACCACCTGTGAACTGTCACCATGGTCCCTTGTGCTCTTCCCTTCCCTGTTTTGACCCCTCTCCCTCCCTGCTCCTCTGTTGTATGTCTCTGTGTTTGGTTTCACTATATTCCTCCTATAAGTGAAACCATCTGATATTTTTCTTTTTCCTTCTGACCTATTTAACTGAGCATCATCCCTTCCAGCTCCATCCATGTTGCTGCAAATGGCATGAGTTTATCTTTTTTGATTGCTGAGTAGTATTCTACAATGGAAAGAATTTCACAATTTCTCAAATAGGCTCTTTCGCATTGTTTTCCCCCATCCCAATGGCTTAGTGCCATCCTTACCAGATCAGCTCCCACATCATCAAGACATGCCTGTGAACAAGCTTTGGGGGCAGTGTAGTAGTATTTCATTGTAGCTTTGGGTTAGAAAGACCTCAGAGTAAACCCCAACTTGGTCACTCTAACTGAATGACCTTCATTAAGTCCTCTAGCTGTAGAAGACTCCATTTCCTTATATGGAAAACTATTATTACATCAGAACATCCCACTTCACTCAGAATCCTGTGAAGGTTAAATGAGCTCAATAAATGACCATGTGTTCAATAAATGACCACTAACAATGGACATGGTATGCCACATTTTATCACATAAATGCCAAAATTTGAATACTTCCTCTATTTGTTTCTGTCTTGGGTCCAGTCTGTTTCTTTGACTTTGGAATCTCACTTTAAGATGATAAATAATAAGATAATATTCAGTAACATTTTCCATGGGTTGTATCCAAGGGGATAGAGCCATGAAGGAGTTAATGCAGTTTGCCTACAAGGATATCCAAAGGACTGGATCTCATATGCAGTGCTATTGGCAGACTGATGGGTGCTTTAAAACTCCCACTTGTGTCACGGGATTCCCTGGGGTTATGGCCAAAATGCTCCTTAGGGAAATGATTTACACTAAATGCCTATATTAGAAAGGAAGAAATAGTTCAAATCAATAGCCTAAGCTTCCCCCTCAAGAAATTAGAAGAAGGAGGAGCAAACTGACACCAAAGTAAAGAAAGGAGGTAATAAAGATAAGAACAGAAATCAATGAAATACAAAACAGAAAATTCACAGAGGAAAGCAATGAAACAAATCATAGCCCTTTGACAAAAATCAATAAAAATCAATAAACTTCAAGTGAGATTAACCAGGCAAACAAAGACAAGACACAAATTAGGAACAAGAGAGCCGACATAATCACAGATTCTACAGATATTAAAAGGATCATGGAGAATGTTATGAACAATTTTATGACAATAAACTTAAATGAAACAAACTCTTTCATTTTTTAATTTAAATTTTATTTTTATATTCCCCATACAATTACAACCCCCTTATTTTGACCCCAATCCCTCCTTTCCCTGCCCCCTACCCCCCCATAGAGTGTCTCTGGTTCATAGTTGTTTGTTGATTTTGATATTTTCTTTCTTATAGTTATTCTTTTTCCTGGTCCCTTATTTAAGTTTTCTAGATTTCTGCTATGAGTGAGACCATCTGGTATTTTTATTTTTCTTTCTGGCTTGTTTCACTGAGCATGATCCCTTCCAGCGCCATCCATGTTGCTGCAAATTGCATGTATTTATCTTTTTTGAATGCTGAGTAATATTCCATGGTGTATATGTACCACATCTTCTTGATCCAGTCATCTATTTTTGGGCATTTGGGTTGTTTCCAAAGCTTAGCTATTGTAAATAGTGCTGCTATAAACATAGGGGTGCAGGTGTTCTTTGGAACTGATGTTTCTCTGTCCTTTGGGTAAATACCTAGGAGTGGAATTGCTGAATCCTATGGAAGCTCTATGTTTAGTAGGTCAAGAAATCTCCACACAGCTCTCCATAGTGGTTGGACCAGTTTGCGCTCCCACCAACAGTGCAGGAGAGTTCCTTTTTCTCCACACCCTCGCCAATATTTGTTGTTGCTAGTTTTTTTTAATATGTGCCATTCTCACTGGTGTAAGATGGTATCTCATGGTAGTTTTGATTTGCATTTCCCTGATTACAAGTGATGTTGAACATTTTTTCATATGCCTGTTGGCCATTTGCATTTCCTCTTCAGAGAAGTTTCTTTTTAGCTCTTCTGCCCATTTTTTGACTGGATTATTTTCATTGTTGTTGTTGAATCTCATCAGCTCTTTGTAGATTTTTGTGATCAGTCCTTTATCATTAGTATTGTGTGCAAAAATGTTCTCCCAGTTGGTGGGGTTTCTCTTTGTTTTTGTTATTGTCTCTTGCTGTGCAGAAGCTCTTTAATTTGATGTAGTCCCAGCTGTTTATCTTTGCCTTCACTATCACTGCTTTGGGTGATGTGTCTGTAAAGATCTTTGATGTGCATATCATGCAGCGTTTCACCTATATTTCATTCTATATATTTTATGGTTTCAGGTTTTATGTCTAGTTCTTTAATTCATTTTGAGTTGGTTTTTGTGCATGGTGTTAGGTAGTAGTCAAGCTTCATTCTTTTGCATGTAGTGACCCAGTATTCCCAGCACCATTTATTGAACAAACTTTCTTTGCTCCAATGCATAGTCTTTGCTCCTTTGTCAAAGATTAGTTGACCATAAATCTGTGGGTTTATTTCTGGATTTTCTATTCAATTCCATTGGTCTGTGTGTCTGTTCTTGTTCCAATACCATGCAGTTTTGATGATTATGGCTTTGTAGTATAGTTTGAAGCCTGAGAGTGTGATGCCTCCATTCCCTTCTCTTTTTTTTTCAGGAGAGCTTTGGCTATTCGGGGTTTTTGGTGATTCCATATGAATTTCATCAATAATTGTTCTATTTCTTTGAAGAATGCCATTGAAATTTTTATTGGAATAGTATTGAATCTGTAGATTGCTTATGGTAGGATGGCCATTTTAATAATGTTAATTCTTCCAATCCATGAGCAGGGGATGTCTTTCCATTTCTTTGTGTCTTCTATTTCTTTTAACAGTGTTTTATAGTTTTCTTTGTATAGATCCTTTACCTCTTTTGTTAGATTTATTCCAAGTATTTGATTTTTTTTTGTTTCGATAATAAAAGGGATGGTTTTTTTGATTTCTTCTTCTTCAGATTTATTGTTTGTGTATAGGAAGGCTACTGACTTTTGCGTGTTGATTTTGTATCCTGCCACTTTACTGAACTGATTGATGAGTTGAGTTTTCTGTGGAGTTTTTGGGGTTCTCTACGTATATTATCATATCATCTGCAAATAGTGATAATTTGACTTCTTCTTTTCCTATTTGGATTCCTTGTATGTCTTTCTCTTGTCTTATTGCTCTGGCTAGGACTTCCAGTATTATATTGAAAAGCAGTGGTGAGAGTGAACATCCTTGTCTTGTTCCAGATCTTAATGGAAATACTTTCCACTTTTCACCATTGAGAATGATACTGGCTGTTGGCTTGTCATATATGGCCTTTATGATATTGATGTATGTTCCTTGTACCCCAAGAATTTCAAGGACTTTTATCATGAATGGGTGTTGCACTTTGTCAAAAGCTTTCTCGGCATCTATTGATATTATCATATGGTTTTTATATTTCTTTTTGTTGATGTGTTGGATAACGTTGATTGATTTTCGGATGTTGAACCATCCTTGTGTCCCTGGCATGAATCCTACTTGGTTGTGGTGAATTATCTTATGGATACATTGTTGGATTCTGATAGCTAAAATTTTATTGAGGATTTTTGCATCAATGTTCATTAGGGAGATTGGCCTGTAGTTTTCTTTTTTTGTGTTGTCCTTGTTCAGTTTTGGTATTAGTGTAATGTTGGCTTCATAGAATGTGTTTGGTATTATCCCTTCCTTCTCAATTTTTTGGAAGAGTTTGTGAAGGATAGGCACTAATTCATTTCTGAACATTTGGTAGAATTCATTTGTAAATCCATCAGGTCCTGGGCTTTTGTTTTTGGGAAGGTTTTTGATTACCATTTCTATTTCGCTGCTTGAAATTGGTCTGTTTAGGTGTTCTATTTCTTCTTTATCTAGCTTTGTGTCATTGTAGAGTTGTAGGAATTTGTCCATCTCCTCTAGATTGTTGAACTTGTTTCTATATAACTGTTCATAGTAGTCACTGATTATTCTTTTGATTTCTGCTGTGTCCGTTGTGATTTCTACTCTTTCATTTGTGATCCTGTTTATTTGTGCTTTCTCCCTTTTTTCCTTTGTGAGCCTGGCTAGGGGTTTGTTTATTTTATTTATTTTTTCGAAGAACCCGCTCTTGGTTTCATTGATCTTTTGGATTGTTTTTTTAGTTTCGATTTCATTTATTTCTGCTTTTGGTTTTTATTATTTCTTTTCTTCTACTGGTTTTGGGGTTTTTTTGTTGTTCTTTTTCTAGATCTTTGAGCTTTGAGATTAGGTTGTTTCTTTGAGTTCTTTCTTGTTTCTTGATGTGAGCCTCTATTGCTATATATTTTCCTCTTATTACTGCCTTTGCTGCATCCCATACATTTAGGAAATTGGTGTCCTCCTTGTCATTCAATTCAAAGAATTTTTTAATTTCTTCTTTGATCTCCTCATTGGTCCACTGGTCTTCCAGTAGTATGGGTTTCAATCTCCATGAGGTAGGAGAGTTCCTTGCCTTCTTTTTATGGTTTATTTCTAGTTTGATGCCTTCATGGTCAGAAAAGATGCTTGGTATGATTTCAATCTTGGTGTATCTGTTGATGTTTGTCTTGGGTCCCAGTATGTGATCGATCCTGGAGAATGATCCATGTGCACTTGAGAAAAATGTGTACTCAGAGTTTTTTGGGTTTAGTGTTCTACAGATGTCTGTTGAACCCAAGCGCTCTAGATCCTTATTTAGAGCTTTAGTGTCTTTACTTATTTTTTGTCTCATTGATCTATCCATTGTTGATAGTGGTGTGTTGAAGTCTCCCACTATGTATGTGTTTTCTCTGATGTCCATTTTCAAAGATGATAGTAGTTGTCTGATATATTTTGGTGCTCCTTCGTTTGGTGAATATATGTTAATGAGTGTTATTTCTTCTTGAAGTATTGTCCCCTTGATCATAATGTAGTGACTGTTGGGGTCTCTTTACCTTTTTGAGTTTGAAATCTGTTTTATCCGATATAATAAGTATAGCTGTTCCTGCTTTCTTTTTTGGTCCATTTGCTTGTAGGATTGTTTTCCATCCTTTAACTTTGAGTCTATTTTTATCTTTTGTAGCTAAATGCATTTCCTGGAGACAGCAAAAGTTTGGGTTTTGTTTCTTAATCCAGCCTGCAACTCTGTGTCTTTTTATTGAAGAGTTTAGTCCATTTACATTTAGAGTTAATATTGATATGTTAGCATCTGTATTTGCCATTGTGTTTGTCTTTCCTTTGATTTTATTTATTTATTCTTTTAATAAATTTTTTTGGGCCTTCTTTCATTGTTATTTGTCCCTCTGAGGTTCTGACTTTAGGATTCATTGTAGTATTTTTTGGAGTGGGGATTTAGTTGTAATGAAATTC